TACTTCACATTGTTCTAGCTTAATCAAAAACAGTTAAATACTCTCTTAGGCAATAAAGTCTGTAGGTTTTGTTATTTTCTAAACCAAATTCCTGGTTTTGAAAGAGATTATATAAACATATATTCAAAGGTATGCGTATCATTGTAGCTAATAACAGGAAATAGTGCATAAACAATGTCATTGTCAATAAAAAAAACATCTTTAGGCCTTCTTAATCCATTCTTACCTCGAAACGGCCAAGTTAACAAATGAGAAAAATACAAATAAGAAGTAAGGATGCCCATTTTTCAACACGATTTGGAAGAAGTTATTCAGACTTCATGTGAACATGAATATAGCATCTGTCATTCACTAAAACTGCCCAACTTTTTTAGGCTTTTATGGGAGCCTGATGAAATCTTATGATTGGGTTCGATATTTAACATGTTTCTTAAGGCAGCAGCTAACTTTTTCTTCAGACACACACAACAGAATAAAAAAATGATGGACTGCTTTAATAAATAACAGAGAGATGTTGAGAACTTAGAACAACTTTATTATCACTTGGAATGTACACTAATTGGCATATATTAAAATGAAATTTCACTGCATACAGCTCTCAAAGGGTCATCACCACCTCCAATATACACTACATAAGCATGACATACATACATACAAAATTATGCATATACCCACATATATTATATGACACAGAGAAACAACACAGTCTAGTTCGGATGTATACATGTACATGGCGAGAAAAACGAATCCTGTGAGACGGATGGCATAGGGAACAAAGCTGTTACAGAATCTGGTAGTCCTGCTAGAAATATTTTGAAACCTCTTCCCAGAGGGGAGCCACAGAAACAGACCATGAAATGGCTGTGTGGGGTCTCTAACAATGCTTTGAGCTCTAAGCACATAGTTTAGTTTAGTTTAGTTTAGTTTATTCATACTTATATGCTGCCCTTCTCCTGAAGGACTCGGGGCGGCTCACAAAGATAAAACAACGGAACAATAAAATTAATACTAAAATAATCCAATTAAAATCCCCAAGAAGTTAAAACTAAGATTCCCAGCAGATCAGGCAATTTGTTGGAAAAGCCATGTCTTCAGGTCACCGTGGAAAGACCAGAGGTCAGGGGCCGTCCAGAGCTCAGTGGGTAACCCATTCCAGAGGGTCGGTGTGCCCATCAGGCACACATTGTCTGGCCGAAGGCACCTGGAGGAGGGCAGTCCTATGTGAACGCACTGGGTGGTGGGAGGCCAGTAGGAGGTGATCCTGCAAGTAACCCGTGCCCGTGCCATGGAGGGCTTTATAGGTAAGTACCAGCACCTTGAAGTGAATCTGAAGGACCACTGGTAACCAGTGCAGCTCGTGCAGGAGAGGTGTAACATGGGAGTAACAGGAAGCTCCCGTAACAACCCGCACGGCCGCATTCTGGACCAGCTGGAGCCTCCGGGTGCACAAGGGCAGCCCCATGTAGAGGGCATTGCAGTAACCCAAACACGAGATAATGAGAGCATGAGTGACTGTACAGAGGGCATCCCTGTCTAGGAAAGGGCACAACTGGTGCACCAGGCGAACCTGTGCAAAAGCCCCCTTGTCACGGCCGTCAGATGGTCCACCAAGGACAGCCGCAAATCTAGGAGGATGCCAAGATTGCAAACCTTTTCAGAGGGAGTAAGCACCCCCCCCATCTGGAGTGATGGGGGTACTAGACCATGAGATGCTGGCATTCACAACTACTCAGTTTTGGAGGGGTTGAGTCTGAGCCTGTTCCTACCCATCCAGACCCGCACCGCCTCCAGGCACTTAGACATCACGGAAAGGGCATCCCTGGGTTGATCTGGGGTGGAGATGTAGAGCTGGGTATCATCAGCATACTAATGATATCTTACCCCGAAACTGCAAATGATCTCACCCAGTGGCTTCATATAGATGTTAAAGAGCAAAGGGGAGAGAACCGACCCTTGAGGCACCCCACAGGTGAGGGGCCTCGGGGCGGATCTCTGACCCCCTGCCCAAACAAACTGCGTACAGTCCGAGAGGTAGGAGGAGAACCACTGTAGAACAGTGCCCCCCACCCCCAGCCCCCCGAGTCATCGCAGTAGGATACCATGGTCAATGGTACCAAAAGCCGCTGAGAGGTCAAGTAGGACCAGGATAGAGGAATAACCCTCATCCCGGGCCCGCCAGAGATCATTCACCAGGGTGACCAATGCCGTTTCCGTGCTGTGTCCACGCCTGAAACCCGATTGGTATGCGTCTAGATAATCCGTTTCCTCCAAGAATCGTGGAAGTTGGTATGCCACCACAGACTCAACAACCTTTGCTATAAAGCGAAAGGCTGGAGACGGGACAAAAGTTATTCAGGGTGGCCAGATCCAGGGCAGGCTTCTTGAGAAGGGGTCGAACCACTGCCTCCTTAAGTCCGGCGGGGAAGACCCCATCCCTCAATGAAGCGTTGACAATCGCCTGGATCCAGTCTCCGGTCACCTCTCTGGTTGCCGCAACAAGCCAGGAGGGACATGGGTCCAACAAACATGTGGAGGCCCCCAACCTACCTACAATGCTGTCCACTTCATCTATGGATACAGGGTCAAAGTCAACCCAGATTTGCCTTCAAGACTTGCTTCCAACTCCCCGTCAGGTCCTGCCTGTCAGAGTCTAAACTCATCCGGATCTGAGCAATTTTGTCTTGCAGAAATTAAGCAAAGTCCTCAGCACTGCCCTGCAAGGGGTCCTCCCTCGCTCCCTGATTGAGAAGAGAGCGGGTCACTCGGAACAAGGCTGCTGGGCGATTTTCTGCAGACACAATGAGAGCAGCGAAATAATCACGTTTCGCCACTTCCATCGCCATGAGGTAAGACCTAATATAGTTCTTAACTGTATTTGATCAGATTTGGAACAGGAAGATCTCCAACAGCCCTCTAGGCATCTCTTCCGTAGTACTTATAAGCAGTACCCTGAATAATGGGAAGCGAGCTTCCTATAATCTTCTCGGCTGCCCTTACCACTCTCTGAAAGGACTTTCTCTTTGAGGCATTGCAGCAGGGGTGAAATCTACTTACCTTTCTTACCGGTTCAGAAGCACATGCGCCACATGCTCACTTAGCTTGCGTGTGTCATCTGCATGTGCAGACCTTCTAAGCACGCACAATACCTTCTGTGCATGCGCAGAAGGTAAAAAACACATTATTTCCTGGTTAAAACCAGGAAATAATGACACCTGGGCAGGTGAGTGGAGCTTCGCTCCACCATTGCTACTGGATCGCCGAACCACCGGCCAAGATCACTACCGGATCGGGCGATCCGGTCCAATCCGGGAGCATTTCACCCCTGCACTGCAGCTACCAAACCAAACAGTGATGCAGTTTGTTAAAACGAACTTAAAATGAACTTATTACAGGCCCAATATGTCTTTGGAGTCACTATTAAAATGTAGGCAGCCATACTAGTAATCATGAAAAAAGTCTCAGCCAACAATATCAGGGATCATGAACAGTAAGGACAATAAATATAGTTTTAGCAAGCATTTTTTCTCTTTTTGTACTTCTTATTGTTTGTTGACTTGTGTGTTTTAGGCAGAAAAGGAGAATATACAAACATACACACACACACACACACGTATGTACGTATGTACCTCCACAAATTCTCAAAATGTCTCCATGTATTTTAAGAATAAAGTAGTACACTTGAGGGAGAACCTGATTCTACTTAGCCCTATTTTTCTATTATTTTAAACAGAATTGTATTTAAGAAACACAAGGCAGTCACCAAAAATGACCTTGTAGTAGAAGCATTTAATTCTTCATGGTTTGTTCTTATTTCATCAAATTATGAATGTCCCTGATGATTTAAGGCTGTACAGTTCTGTAGAGGAAGAGAATCTGACCTAAAGACATTGCTTCTGACAGTCCATCACTCTCTTGTAACACATAATTTCATTTTTTTCCTACAAGACATCAGCAAATAGCCATCTCAATTGAGGATTAACAGCATATTAACTCTCAATCTCTGTACTTTAATTTATATACATTATCACATTCCCACTTATTAATATATCATGAACACTATACCAGAAGTATATTGTTTGGCAGGTGTTATCAATTCTAATAATTTTTTTATTGTGCCAATGTTGGTAAGTTAATAATTACACATGTGTGTTTCAGTGAACTGCTCAGATACAAGACCGAAATGATGATAAAGGCAAAAGATAATAACAAAGTAATCAGATGACTGGAGGAGAGCACATGTAGGCATAAATTGATAATAATTTCGGTAACTAAACTGGACCTTATCTACAGTCCAACCTATAATTTTGACCTCTATCTGACTTGAGTGAATGAAAACATATACAGAAGAAGTTGCATATGTACCTATATTTCTCTCATTTTTCAAATACAAACTCCATCATTTTCTGGATGTTTTTGATAAAAACACAACTGGGATTTCACCTTTGTCACAATAAAACTAATCTGAGGTGTACATTTACAGAAAAATAATTTGTCAGTAGCCATCTTTTATCCAGAGAGTTACAAACAAATCTGGAAAAGTTTAGTGTGACTGTTTTTTTTACTCGTTCAGTCATGATTTCAATATAAATTAGAGGAAAAGTCCAATGAAAGTGCAGTTTTCAGGGTTTTTTTTTTTTAAACCATAAGATTATATTATGTATGAGTATACAAAACACTTTTACCCTTTCTTCTCTATACTTGAGAAAGTGCTTTGAGTTATTATCTATTTATCAATGGTGGCAAATGACCCAAGTTCTTTGGAGAATATGTCAGTGTAAACAAAATTAAATCTTCTCTACCAGCAAATACTTCTTCTGGTAAATTCCATATAACCCTTCCACATTAGTTGCCAAGACTCAATACGTAGGTCAGTCCATCCATCCATCCATCCATCCATCCATCCATCCATCCATCCATCCGCCTTAGTAATTTAAATGGTAAGAAAAACAATTTATGAAGTGACCTAATGGACATACCTTTTCACTGTTCAAGCATCTTACCTTGTAAACTATATATTTCTCCCACGCTGTTCTGCCGAGTGATGTGATGCCAGTATGCACTACGAGGAAGTGAGATTGACTTAGGTAACGTCATTGGTTCAGTCAAACTGGTCTGAAGCTGCAAATATAAAGAAAATACACCATAGCATGTTTTTCAGTAATCACCTTCAGTCCAAACTTAGCAGAGGAAATATCAAACAATTAATATCTGGGCAAATCTAATTACTACAAACATAGCTGGAATAGTGGACTGGAGTCTACATGGAACAGCGACGATACCTTTAACACCATCAAACATTCAGATCCTTAGGAAGGACTTGACAGGTGGATAAAGTGCCAAATCAAGTCTAAACATTTGGCTGACTATGTGATGAACCATAATAATTGTACTTCCTCTTTGTAGCAGTATACTTGCTACTATAGTTGCATTTTAAGAGGCAACCTTGCAGGCAAACAAAAGAGAATTTGCCTTTCCACTCATAGTTACTTTCAAACCTGTTCAAGAAATGTGATGTGTTTTTTTTAACCCAAGAAATAGAACCATTAACCATTTATTTAGCTGTCTTAATATCTGCAAGTGAGCAAAATTACAGATATTGTTCAAGGGATGGGAATTTGAATATAGGGATCAACATAACACTATAAACTCCCTATCTGCTCCAAGAAAAGGGTACGTGATGTACTAGGAACAATGTCTTTAGTATAACCAGCTCCTAAGATAAATTGTGATCTATGCACAAAAGTTTGCTCTCTACATATTTATTGTCTTGCTGAAATAGGGGGCAGATGGATTTTAGTTGACAGATTTGTTGGTAACAAATAACAAGGAACATGTTAATCAAATGAAGTAATGAAGGTGAATGAAAGTTACATGGTGCAAAAGCTACAGCGATCAATTAAGAAGGAAAGTGGCACAATATTTTCCAATAGACAGCTTGTGCAATTAGTAGAAAAGGTTCTTTATAGTGTGAGCTGTGCGACCCGATGTTGAGATCTATGCTTTTCCTAGATACTTTTGGTGACTAGGAGGACTATGAATAGCTGGAGTCAAGAGGTTATGAATGCTTCTTTCAGATAAGATGCAGTGCCATCAATCCTGAAAGAGCTGGTAATGCATTGTCTTCTGAAGAAGCTCTATTTTGACAACCTTTGACTAATGCCCAACCTTTCCTTTCTGGGGGAGATTTTGGAGAAGGTGATGAGAAATCAGCTTCAGAGGATGATACTATAGGAATCCTTTTCAGCATGGATTCAGACCTCTACATGGGTCTGGTACATGAATTGCATCAGGACCTAGAAAGCGGGAGTGAATTCCTGCTGAAACTAACGAACATCTCAGCAGCTTTTATCAGAGTGTGCACAGTGTGACTGCTAGTTTGAGACAACCCAGGAGCAAAATACAGTACACAGAGATTTTGTCTTTCAAACAGTGGCTTATATACAGGTGTCTATATACAAGTGATAAGCACATACCAGACAAGCAATCATTCTTCAACTTTATGGAGAACTACAATGATAGAACACAACTAGGAGAGTGATACATGAGGAGAGAGAGTGCCCTCTCATGGCCTCCCTTATATAGGCAGCTTCTTAAAGTGGCAATAACCCTGCTGACTCATCCTCAGTCATAAAGGGGCTGGTCAGCTTAAATCATCATTACCCTGACAGTGTTCAATACCATTGACTACAATATATGGATTTTGGGAGGTAGGGATACCAAGCATAATGGACATGCTCCTACCACAGCAAATAGATTCAGTTGATAGTAATGGGGATGAGTATCAAGCCCATGATCTCTCCAATATGGATATCTCAGGGCTTAATTCTTTCCCTACTCCAGGATCCAATCTGATCAGTCACCAGAACCAGAGGTTTTGTCTTCCAAGCTTTCAAATTCATGCTGCAATCCATCTTCAGGGAACTTCTGTCTTTCCCTACTGCTATCTACATGAAATCAATGGGAGAGACATTATCTATTGTTTTGTTTTGCTGTAAGGATAGCATTAATATGCTGATCAATACTCAATTATACCCAATACCATAATGGATATACTATGGAAATTCTGATCTAGGATCTGGAGGTGGGGAGTTTGGATGTGGGCCAAAACAAGTGAATGATGAATCCCAGAAAGATGGAGTTACTGGAGTTCAAAAACATCATGGTTCATTGAATGTTCTAGAAGGAGTTACACTGTCTTCAAGAGGAGGCCTGAAACTTGGGCATCCTCCTGGATTCATGGCTCCTGCTGAAATAGCATGCCTGGTGTGCCAATTAGGCCCTGCCTAATCTTAAAGCCCCGATGAAATTTGTTCACACCCTCATTGGCACACATTTCAATTACTGTACATGCTCTATATAGCACTCCCTTTGTAGATGACAAGAGAAACTACAGATGATTTAAACTGAAGTGGCCAGGTCCTTAGATGTTAATAGGAATGACTTCAATATAATATAAATTCTCCAGTCACCAATAGATTTCCATGTTCAATTCAAAATGCTGGCTTTTGTCCTAAAAATCTAAATATTATCTCATTCTTAATATAATCTTTGCTCCAAGTAGAATCTGTTTTATTATGACCATGGTGTTTGAGATGTCAATTTAATTGAATTTATGATTATCTATTTAACTTCAGCAAAAGGTGAAGTTAAAATTATATGGACTGCCCTTAAACCCTTTAATAAGTGGATTATCCTTCAGTGTCTGACTTGTACTTTGAAGGGGCAGTTTAGCAGAATATGAGCCACTGATTCTATTTCTCCTTTCCACCTGGCAGTAGAATTCTAGATATGAAATCTTCATCTATTTTATCTCCTATATTGCAGAGGGAAAACATTAATGCAGGCCTTTGGTAAGTCCACCTCTTTTTTTTGTAAAAATATGATTTTATAAATCACTGGTTATGGCTTCATTAGTACCTGCCACCAAAAGCAATAGAGGTGTGGGTCTGGTGCTCCATATTCTGTCCTTTCTATAAGGACACTGTCATGGCATCCTCATACCTCATTTGATTTAGACATTCTAGTGAGAAGCCAGAGGTAATCAGATTTTATTCACAAACTAATTGCCATTTATCTTTATAAGTATCCACCAACCAGAGAAGAAACAATCTACTATACTTTAAAGTCACTCTTACCAGACCTGAGTTTCAATGTTTAGGTAGCAGGCTACCAGCCTCAGGAATATGTTAGCATGTATACTATGGTTATAAGGAAAACTGATTGGATTTGTTCATATCATATAAGATTTGAAGGTGCACCTGACTGAATTTCATTCTTTGTTACCCTGTTTCCCCCAAAATAACACATCCCCTGATAATAAGCCCAATCGGGCTTTTCAGTGCATGGCAATAAGGCCAAGCACTTATTTAAGGGTTCAAAAAAATATAAGACAGGGTCTTATTTTCGGGGAAACACGGTATTTCCTCCACTCTTTGGAACATCTTATTCCCAGAGGTGAGGTGAGCCTCCATCTTCTGGTTTTCCAGAAGCGTGTAAAGACTCTTGGCTCTGTCAAATAGCATGGGGATCTAAGAGTATGATGTAACCTTGGGGATGGCTGGTGGCTTGAGGGTACTCTTTCTGCCTTGTCGGTTTTTTAGTCTTTTGAATTTTTAACTCTGAATTGCACTTTTACCTTGCAAGTTTTAAGTCTGTTCTTCACTCAGTTTTAATCTGTGTTTTTATTCATTGTTTTTATTGTTTAATTTTGTTGTTGTAAACCACCAACAGTCACTTAGGTGTGATAGGCAGTGTAGAATTTAATAAATTTAAAAAATGATTTGTCCTCCAACAGTTCAACCACTGCAGAAGCTATTTAAAGAGTACAAGGACTCTTTAAAATCTTAGAATGGCTGCAGTACTCTTCTGTGCCTTTGAAATGGCATAAACATTTTAAGCTTTTAAGTAATGTAAAGGAATCAAAAGACAACTTCTTTCACTAGATTTTTTTGAGGTAACAGGGCAGGGGGAGAGAGAGAGAGAGAGAGAGAGAGAGAGAGAGAGAGAGAGAAGGTCCAGACGAAGGAGTGAGTGATCTGACCATGACAAGGGTTCCATGTCTATATCCCCTATAACAAGATCACTCAACCACTGGCCAGAGACAAAAATCAAGTCTAGAGTGTGTCCCCCCCTGTGAGTGGGGCTATGAACTAACTGGGTCAGGTCCATGGCCGTCATGGAAGCCATGAACTCCCGAGCCATCCCAGACGTTTCACCAACGGATGGCAAGTTGAAATCACCCATGACCATAAGCCTGGGTGTATCAACTGCCACCGTGGCTATCACGTCGAGTAGCTCAGGCAGGGCTGCTGCCACGCGGCAGGGAGCCAGGTACGCAAGCAGCAAGCCCCATGACCCCATCTCACGAAGAGGGACTCACATCCGGCAGTCTGAGGCACAGTGGTCTCCCTCGGACCAAGACCTTCTTTAATAATAACCGCCACCCCCCTCCCCTCCCCTGGGCTCTCGGCTGATGGAATGCTCTGAAACCTGGTGGGCACATCTCGACCAGAGGGACTCCTCCCTCCGGTCCCAACCAGGTCTCCATAATACCAGCCAGGTCCGCTCCCCCCTCCTGGATAAGATCGTGAATGAGGGGGGGCCTTATTTACCACAGACCTAGCGTTGCACAGCATCAGCCGCAGGCCCAGGTTCTGAGTATCTAAGCCACCTAGTATCCGAGGGGAGCAAGTGCGCGTCCCCAACACATGATGTGGCCCCCTGCTCCGCCATATCTGCCCCTCCCAACCACCGTGCTGATGGTATTTCCCTCATTGGGATAGCCCTCCGCCCCCTCCCCATTCCCTCGTCCAGTGTCCTCCAAACCGTTACCCCGTGCCGGGCTCGGCTCTTGGTGGATTACCCCCCATCCCCTTTGGTTGTCCTCCCGGTTCCCCTTAAAAAATTATTAAAAACCCTAATTAAAAAACCCCTTAATCCCCGCTTTGAAACATGCCACCTCTCAGGGCTCCAAAACCCGTCCTTAAGGTAGGCCTTTGATAACATGGAAGGCCATTGCCGCGAGAGGGGGCATCTCGCAGCGCAAGCAGGTCTGCTGAATCATCATTAAATCATCATTACCCTGACAGTGTTCAATACCATTGACTACAATATATGGA